TGAAAGCCAATAGCAGCGGCGTTGAAATTTTCATTGTGAACAGCAGTCAAAGTTCAGGTATGTCGGTTATTAAACCTTTTGTTGTACAAAATCGGTAATTAAGGTGTTGTTGCTGTGGAATTTGCATAAACGACAGACGCATTTTTGGGATATATTAATTACAATGTTGCGGACAATGGCCGATTTGCGGTATTCGATTGTAAACGTTTTGTTTTATATCAACACAATGTTCGCGGTCACCGTTTAACCGTTTAGATTCTGACGACTACCCTCCATTATTCTGCAGGTAGGTATATTTCATACTGATTCCTCTACCGTTTAACGGGCAAGGAAAAATTATACTTACGAAACGAAATGCGATTTAATCGATTATGCTAAAGTGATATCTGCTGTACGTGCATCATTTTTCTGCTTCGAAAGTTTCCACCTTCTACCGATTATTATATTTAAAATATACCTACCTAGTATTTCAATTAATTGTTTTGTATTTCCATCAGCAACAGTAATTAGTGCATCATATGTAAACCTTAAATTTATAGTCTAAATACAAATTCGAGTCGTACTTAAAAAAATTATAACCGTAACATTAAAACCACACAATTGTGTTGCGGAAGTAATAACAAAAAGTTTGATCATATGTATATTTAAAAAATCTATGTTCCGGCATATTTAAAGATGAGGATATTTTGTACAAAAGAAAATGGCAGAGTGTATTAACTAATTTATAAATGTGATTAAATTTGCAATTTTTTGTAAGTGTGTTGTGGCCAAGTGGGGGTTAATTTAATAATTACAATTTGGCACTTTTTTATCGATTTTATTGATAAAAGAATCCTCTTCTCATGATTTTTTTTCTCATAAAGAATCCACATCTGTATATAGGCTGTTTCATTTAAAAAAATACAACTTTGGTGTGTAGCCTTAAATGAAACGCCTTGTATATTTGAAAATAATAGTCCTAAATAAGTTCTGATAAACAAAGACCTTTCTCAACCTCAACAGTCCATGACAAATGCGTGATTTTGCATCACCAAATTGTTGGGACACCAATATGTATCGTCTGCTAAGCCCGCGGAAAAATATTGGTATATTATTTGTACTTGTAATTTTGTTGTCCATTATATGATTTGTAAAATTCATTGAGAAATATATTAAATAAAAGAAAAAATAATTGTTGAACAAGAATAAAAACAAAACAGAGGAGTTCATCCAATATAAAAACTGCTACATTCATAATTAATGTGTATTCTGTAAAATTAAATGGAAACTTGTTTTATGAAAATAAGAGTATAATAATAATGAGTATTAGGTTTCAATTTATGATAATTTTGTTCCATTTACCATGTAAACATAAGACAGCATGTTTAATAAACGCTAGATATAAATAAAGACAGTGTTACATAGCTTATACAATATGTTAAAGTGTATATTGCCCATACTTCAAATTCGCAGTTAATTAATACGTCAGAATAAAAAAAGTTACTTATATAAAGATATTTTCAAGAACACTGAAATGTTTATTATTACATATAAGCTTAATTTCCACCTCAATTGAAAATATACAGAAAATAGAAAGAGCCAGAATGAACCTATACACATGTTCTACCTTCATTATTAATAGTTCTAACCTCAATAAATAAATTTAAATACTAATATTTTTTTTAATTAAAACAGACCACACATTATCGAGGAACACAATTTTACGCAACGCTAATTTGTATTAGGAATAACATTTTTGTACAACGATTTTTAGTTTATAACTGATTAATAAAGACAACTTCATTTTACACATTTCTATTATATCCCACCCCCTACTGGTAATTTTTTGATAACAACTTTCGATCGCCTGAACCGTGAACCATTTGCTCTAATTCTGCAGGTAGATTTTTGTGATTGTGGCCTAAACGTTGTTTGTATTTTATTTGACTGACAATAAAAGCTCTGACAGCTGTAATGTGTACGTTATTAAGCGGGAGAATGTATATTTGAATAGACGTTCGGAGGGAACACTTATTTTACTGCTGTAATCAATAAATCACTAAAAGCTGTTACTGACCGTCGCTTTTGTTTCGAATGAAACACACAAGGGTCGACTGAAATGTTCTCTGAAACGTTCAAAATTAAATAATTTTCATGTCCTGACGTTGCTTTTGTCGATTTGCTAAAAGGTTTCAATCCAGTCCAATTTTCTGGCACGACACTCAAAATATCTTTTGGTGGAGACGGTTTCTGGCTTTTACTGATAGCGGGGGCCGGGGTATGAGAAAATAGGGTATGCAAATCATCGCCAGCAGGTAGGATATGTCACATAGTTGTACAAATTTTGGGATTATATTATTATACTAAATCTAAAACGTCATTTGTCAGATCTTGGTCAACAAAAATCAGTGTATACACAGGAAATAAAATCTTTATCAATACTATTACTCCTAAATCTATGTCATTTTTATATTAAAAAAATATATATTTTTAAATTTGACTTTTAATAAAATGTCCTTTGTGGTTGCTGCTTATAAACGGTTCACCATGGTTATCATAATGATGTCAGAAAAAATAAGATGGATACAATTTTTTATTTTCTTTATATTTGGAAAAGGTTGTTATTTTGCCCAAATGCAAAGTAATCATTATTTTTACAAAAACTTGAAGCAAACAATGTGCTTTGGTTTAAAATATATTTAAGAATCTCTACCGTCGCCTAATAAACGATTTCGACAATCCCATTTTTCGAAACGTAAACGTCTGAATGCTCCTTTAACAATTTACACCCTAATATATTTACGTTTAATGTGCAGTTGATACAATTTTTCGTATTAATTTATATCAAATTCACAGCAGTAGATAAATCATAACAAATTAATTTAGTCAACTAACATCGCACAAAATTTACTTTTTTGTCTTTTTTAAAAACTTATTTGCACTAGTACGGATAATACATCTTTTCCTTAATAAATAATGTATTCAATAGCATGTCCTTCCTACAAAACCTACATATTCAAATGCTTTTGATCCCAACATTTGTCAGTTCCTTTAATTTCGTGATTTTTTTGTACTTTCACCATCAAATTTCCGTTAATAATCAAAATTAAAACACATCATTTAAGAAAAAAAAGAAACAGATCGTTCAAATAATTTACCTACTACATTTTTACTGTCATCCTTGAATAACGCAGAAAATGTTTCAATAATAATCCACAAAAAATACAGTGTGTCCAGTTGAAGCAGAACCTGAACTAGTAAAGAAAACAGTTATTTTCTATTGAGCAAAATTTGACAAAACGCCTGGATATTTGAGTAAAAATCTTTTTGGTGTCGCGGATGTGTATATAGTATTCGTAAAGAAACAATATGGAACACATTGTCACAAATTCTCTTGTATTTCAAAATCAAACTTAAAAGTTTTTTATAGCATTATTGAGGCAGGCTACAGTTATGTTAAATTTTATTAACTGAATGAAACCAGTACTGTAAAAATGGAAATTAAAGAAAATATTGCTTTCAAAAAATTTTTAAAACTTTAAAATTTGACGCAGTTGGCAAAACATTTCAAATTTAGAGAAATTTTGGGGGAAATTTTTCAACATACTTATTACAATCCAACATTATTAGGCAAAAGCGACATAGTGGTTTTCAGATTTGTTTACAAAACATATACCAAAAATTAAGAAAACGTTTCAAACAATATTGATGATTTCACAAATTGTCAGTTTTTTTCTTAAAACCTATTTTTTGGGTTTTTAGTGTATCTAGTTTTTTTTACGTTTTTTTTTTAATATGCTTTTAAAAAACATCTTGGAATCTTTCTATAAGTGAAAATACAAATTCTTATTTTCTTTTGAAAATATTGTACGTCGTTTCACTACCATGGTGATGAAGTAATATATAAATGCAGAAAAAAGATCACAGCAAATATTCAGATGTGCACGACTAACAAGTTGATAGTGAGCATGTTTTAAAAGGATTCTTTAATGACTCTTGCATTTTTTACATTGAAATAAACAGTAAATATTAGTAAAAAAATGTTTACAGTATCCTAAGCAATACAAAAAAAAAAGGTTATTTCTTATAAATCACTACATATAAATCTGTAGTCCTTTTAATAGGGAAATATAACTTGATATAGGGGTTGTTTTGTCTTTTGGCCTTGTCTTTAAGCATAAAGATGTCATAAATTTTGTTTTATAACATCATCTTTAAACAAAATATTTTTATGGAAGTCGTAACGATTTATGCATTCCTTTTCGCAAGTATACGTACAGGTTAAATGCTAGATCAAGACCAACTCTAGGCACTTTGCTTACACGACGGCTACTGTACGGCTTATTTTTGTGCAGCATTAATTTGTTTTTATATGTAATGAATATATAGAAATAAGTTAGATGACCTAATAATCCAATTCTAAATTGTAGAACGGAAGTTGCACAATTTTATAACTGTTGAGAAATACACGGAATATATTCATGTCTTTTTTGGTTTGTCTAAACTGCTAACTGATGAAACACACAAACTGATAACTAAAGTCCAGAAAGCATGCGATTTGCATATCCATTAATATGACTACTAAATACTCTTGGATCTGTATGAATTAAGACAACTATAAGTAACCAAAGCTAATTTCGTTTTGATCCTCTCATTTTTACAATTTTGTATAAGTATATGTATTTATTTCCATATGGTAAGCTAGGAAATCATTGTAATTGACCGAAAAATGAGAAACATATTTTGTGTATATTTTGAGTACTTATATTATGTTCCCGTATTTTTGGTCAACAAAATGGTCCCCGAATGAACATCTGCCTTCGAGACAAAGATGTGTAGTTATATAATCCATCCTTCGGTACCGTAAAGCATATTAAATTAAAAAAAAGGTTAAGGTGTATCATCATCATGTAATATGTTCCTCCGAGTCTTGTATGACGGCATGATTGCTTTTCGCAGTTACTTTAGAGGAATGATTAGAGAACGATAATACGATAGGATAATTGAAGAGTAGTACTTACCACCCATGTGTCCGTTTTCGTACGGGTAATCACCGTTGTCGAGGCGTTGTTTCTTGAGCTGTTGATGTTGCAGATGGGAGGCGGCGAGGCTGAGCCCCACAGGCGCTCTCTTCGGCGGACGGCCGGGCCTGGAACTGCAAAATAGTAGAGAATTACTGTTGTTAAAACCTAGGTGTAATAAAACCAGCACTTCTCACAGTCTCTCATTCAACATTCTCTCCCAATTGGCTGAGTGTTGCGCAAATAGTCTTACGACCATCAGTCATAAATGCTGTACGTTTCGTATGTTTGCCGACAACTCCATCCATTAGGTGGCGTCCGCCACAAATATCAGATATCGCACGGTCAGTCGACAAATCGACCCCTCTTTGATTTATTGGCTTCATTTCCGGATATCTACTGTCATACTTTTTCTTCATCCTACAACTCAATTACTCGACCCACCTAACCCCGGATTATTTATCGCGGACACAATAAAACAACCGCGGACTCGGGTTATAACAGCGCAAGGACAACTCGCTGCTTCGTAAGCTCTAGAGGCAATTATTCTGGATGAGTTATTGGCATTCAGCACTTTGTTTTTGAAAAAAGAATCGGATAAGGCTTTCTTTGCTCTAGCGAACGGCTGTGCTGTTTTGAAGTGAACTTATTGCACCGAAGAAAACAATAAAGGTGTCAATGGCTTTAGAATTTTAATTCTAGAAAAGAAATTTTAAAAATTAGCCGCAGTTTGGACAGTAATAAAACACGTTTTTCTAGCATTTTGACGTCAGGGCGCTTTTTGTAAAGATTTCCCATCATAGAACTTTTCATAGGGAAAAACCACATCAACCTTTACGACTACACGTATTAGGATGTCACTACTTCTTAGAATTTGAAATGCAGCAAAAGCTTATGTATTCAAAGCTTTTATTATTATTTAAATGAGGAACTCTTTTGGGCACCTGTTCTAAAATAAAAGTTGTTTTGTATTAATGGTAATTCTTTAATTTTTGTTATTTATTTTCATTAATTTTAAATCACAATTTACCTTTATATTTATTCCTAGACTAGCTTTATCAACTTAAATTCTATTTCAAGTGAACTTTATTGACGTTGATTCTTATAAATTAGTCAATGTAAGGATTTAAAACACTGCACATAAATTTTAAATTATACAAAATTCAAGTATGTAGTTTTAATAAGTCGTTTCTGATATAATGGTCCCACATTTTTATCTTACCCTAAAGATTTCTATATATTTTTTTTTAACTGAAGGATGATAAAAATAGTTACTAGCATTTATTTATTCATTTATAAATGATTTCAAAAAATAAAAATTAATCATCAAAACACAAATCATCTTAGAGCATAGTTTTATTAAGTTTGTTTATCCAGTAACAAGTAATCAAGTATCGCCCATCAATCCATGACCTCGTTCCTTTTGAAGTCATTCCATAAACGACTAAAGTACTTGAGATTGAATTTCAAACAAATGTCAAATGTGCAATAAATCCTAAGTAATAATCATGAACAGATTTTCCATTTTTTTATTAAGATAACAAACGAAGCAGAAAAAATAGTGTATTACACTTGTTTAATAAGACATATTGTATCACTTGTTCCTTTGAAGCACTGCTCGCTTCACTCGTCGTGTCCTAAATAACTCATACTACAATAGAAAGTGTTTATTAAACTAGTACAATAATACACTATTTTAAAAATTGACACATAATTAAACCACTAATAGAAGGTCATCTCACAATACTAATTTGACGCAATAAGAGTTACTTGGCAAAATTTTGAAATGACATTTTTTTTTTCTAAGAATGAACATATAAATTTTGGGTAGCGTTTTATTATGTGTACAATAATTATAAACCACACCTAAAATTTCACAATAATCAATGCACTAATTTAGGAAATTATCTGTCTGATGAAATGGTTAATAAATAAGACGCCCATAAGTGTATGATCGACAGGCGGAAATAGCAGATCTACATTTTCATTTTCTAGAAGCTGTTAGAAACCAGTCCAGAAACACTCAAAATGATCCTTGTACAATGTATTTTTAGCTTGGGGAGTAAAAATGAAGATATTATAGGTTGATAAAAAAGTTTTTAACGAACCGTAATTTTATACACTTGATTTGTAGAAATTTTTGAATAACAATTCCAGGAATTTTCATAAATTATAATAAATATTATGGTTTCCATTTCTCGACCATTTCCTACTTGAAACTTCATTCATTAATCAAACATAACCATGTAACTGTTTCAAGTTTACTGTACCGGGTGTGCCATCATTCATGGCTTAAGAGAACGTGATCAGTTATTTCCAGTATATCAACTCAAAATTTTCGGAATTAACACTGTTAGTAGGGGTTTTAGTAATGTTTCGGAGTGATCAGTGTCAAATATTGATTGCATATCGTAGAGTCTGTTTGGACAGTGCAATAAAGAAATTGTGTTTTCTCATGAAGATTGATCGCGGTTCATCTATACGGGTTCACGAAACCAATAACTCTTCAAAAGGTAAATCTGTCAAAATATTTTAATTAAATACCTCCGTGTTAGAACACGAAACGACTGAGCATGCACGTTTGACCAAACTCGGTTAGGCTTGCGATTTGGGACTGAAGCTCGTTAACCGATCTTTTTTTGGCAGGTTAAGTGGTCAAGGAATGTTCTTTGATTTTGGGGCTGCAATACTATCAGAACAGTTGATCACTGCACGTCGAGGATTGCTATAGGAATAGGCGGGGTCTGTTATAATAATCTCTCTCACGAATCCTGAAATACGACGTAAAATTTGAGGGCATTTAACTTTTTGTACAAAAGCATAATAACCACTCCTTATTGCAAATGCAAACCGGCAAGCTGAGGGCTCGAAACGGTTAAATGCGATTGGCGAATGCAGTCAATCATCAAAACCTATAATTACTGTCGAGGTTTTCGTGGCGTTGACCGTTTTTTTCCTGCCATGTTGTGTGTCGTTATAAAATTTCGTATGTAATTGACAAATTCGTGTTCACGCATTATGAATACAGTTTAATGTTCGTGTTATGTTAGAATTGATTTGCGTGAGTGCGGCGTTTGACTGATTGAAATCGTGTGAATTATTGGTAAACTGATCCCAATTGCGTCGAAATAGCTCCCTGCGGCTAGTGATTAACTCGTACGCTGATTCGTAAAATGAGCATTCATACAATTAGCACTCAATTCTGTTTAAAAATTCAATCCGACTGATTTATGATCGCGCCGTTAGAAGTTCGGTCAATTTTGTATCGGGCTATAAATTTCATCTGGCGTGTGATATGCAAAGTCTCATTGGAAAGCTTGCGTAAAGTTGCAATTACGGCTCCCTCGCGAACACGCATGACTTGTACGTAATGTGTTCTTAAGATCAAAAACCTACAAAGAAGATTACAAAACGTATAAAAATCCAGAGTCGGTATCAGTTTTCTAATGTCTCGGCGGAGCAATTGTAATTTTGAAAGAAAAGAAGCGTTTAGTCAAACGAAATGGCTTTTTTCTTACTTAATCTCAGATTATGAATCTTTTACGTTCTCCCCAAGGAATACCTGGTTGATGGCTGTTTTCCAAGGGGATATATTGCCTTTCCGTGAGTTCCGTGTTTTAAAGCAACTTTAATATGCTCCCGAATTACGTAATCGAATCAGACCAATTTTATTGTTCTCTATGCCGTTTTGAGCTCGAACGCAATTTCAAGACTCGAAGGAATTAACCCCCTATCGATTTTTAATAACTCGAGGGGAGGACACCCGGCTACTCAGATGGGGATGAAACACTAGGCCAGTAGGTTCTCATCGATTACTTCCTCCACGTCGAAAAACCAGACGAGGAAATCTCCATCACACAACACCATTCACCGAGGGGAGATGAATGTAATGGTAGTAACATCAAATAGTAAACCACTGTATCTTTTTCTTCAATTTACTGAATTTTTGTCATAGTGTGTATTATTTCTCTCAACACGTGAATTCGCGGCGTTAGGTTTTTACGTAGTCTAAAATAATGTTTAGGTTAAGAAAAAGACAAAATTAAAGTTTGTTCAGTCAATTCACTTTTGATTTGGGAGCAACGTTTTTAAATTTTTTTTATTCAGTAGTTGTTTCAAGAAAATCTTAAGAATATTATATTTTAAAGAATCAACCAAGAGAGGCACGTGACAAATTTTCCATCACTTACAAAAAAAAGAAACTTAAACTGCAACAGTGTTGGTATGAAGGTAAATCAACCTGTCTGCTAAATTATTTTTTTATAATCACTCAGTTTTAAAGCCCTTGAAAAAGAAAAGTTTTCTTTTTGGTCGCGACGTTGTGTGTGTTTTTCTTAGGTGGATTCAACAAAAAGTATTAGAAACGACATAGAAGAGTGAATCAACACTCTGAAATTCAAAGGCGCTATTTGAAACCAATTTAACAAATTTTGCAAACACATTCCTGAATGGCAAGGTAATTAACTAATATTTTGTACATTTGAGCAAAGAATATTAAACAAGAATCCACAAGAAGCGACATCTGTGTCGGTACCTTTGATGTTTTGCTGGTCAATTTTGGCGACCTTCAGCCATTTTGTTGGTTTGCTTTGACGCGGGAATTTTGAAAGTTAGTTGTCATGAAAGGATGAGTGTTGACATAGTAATAGAAATAATTTGTCTGTAGACAAAACACATAGGTACATGAACATTTAATGAACATTTTTTATAAACGTTTATAGTTTGGTTCCTATTCCTTTCAAGGTTTTAAGAAACACGAAAAAACCAACCTAACCTCCAAAATCAACGAATGTTACAGTACAGTACAGGACTAAAATGTGTATGAAATATGTGACAACAAACGTCTGCGATGCACGCTTACAGGAAACAAAGACAGAAACAGTAAAATATAGGTTTATTAGACACATTTTGGTGACCCTGCTCAGCAGAAATCATTTTCTTCTAGTCCATGGAAGTGTCGCTTCTTCTTCATTCTTATTAATATTCTTTGGTTTGAGCTCTTAACATACGAAAAACCACACATTTATATTGTTATATACTTACTTATTTATTTTATAAAAAAAAAAACGTGTCAGTGTTTTCATCAATCTCTAGCACCTGGACTACATATGTTTTAACAATTCTTTTGGCCAGA